TTTTTTTTTTTTTTTGATTTGTTTGTTCGTCTGTTTATCTTTTTGAAATTGGTTGACAAATAACGGCGCAACTTATCTATCCTCTTCAGCTTCTTTTTTGTTTCCTTTATTTCTTCTACTTTATTCTCTTTTTGTTGTTGTTGCTGTTTTTTTCCTATTTCTTTAACTTAACAGATTAGTCACTAAGTTTCTGTAACACTCAGTAAAGGAAAATCAAAACAAAACTGTCTTTTCTGAAAAATATTATAAAGATAAAAAGGAAAATTATGAGGTTTTTTTCCCCACTAACCATTGCAACCATTCCGGTGACCAAAAGCTGTGCACGTTTCTGAACAGATGCCAGTCGCTGTTTATACCAGGAAACTAGTCGATTACCGTTATCGATGCCACGATTCAGTATTTCCTTTTCTTCTTCCAGAAGTGTTTCATGACGTGTCTACAAGACAAAACAGTTATCAGTAGATTAAGGTATCTGATGTTAGTTGACGACTGTACAACATTGGTGCTGTCAAAGTTTCTCCTCAGTTTTTCTTATGAGGACAAATGATTAAAAATAAACTGAGTGAAACAACGAAAATAAAAAGGATACTAAAAACAAGAAAAAATTTACTTCATTTTTATTTGACTGTAAAAATATGTACAAATGAAAATTTGAAATCAAATTAGACAATTGAACAATTGTTTTATGTATGCAATGCTTTAACAAAATTTTTCAATGATATCATTTTTTTTGATTTCTATTTCTTTTCTCTGCATTGTTTTCTTCTTTGGTGAACTCTAATTATAGACCTCTAACGTCATCGGTAAAATTAGTAAATTTTTAAAAAAAAAAGAAAGAAATTTTTATTTATAGTAAAAACAACTGAAACTTATTCAACTTTTTGAATGTACATTTATATTAATGATGACATAATTTAAGAATCCAATAGTTTTATTCAATCCTATATCAACACCTTCTCAAGCACTCGCTATAAATCTTTTTTCTTTTCATTTTAATCTTGACGCTAGTGACTTTGCTGCGGTTGTTGTTGTCTTTAGCAGTAACATTATTGCGGTCATTTTTGAATGCTTTGCCTACGTTATGTCGTTAAAAAGAGGGGGAGGATAGAGCAGGAAGAAAAGCAATGAAAGAAGAATTTAAGCAAAAAAAAAAAGGGGAAAAAAAGTGGAAAAAAAGAAGAAGTGAACGGTGGGTATAGTGTAGGTTTAATTTTTGATCAAATAAATTCTTTTTTTTTTTTCCAGCTGTTGTTGTTACGTAAACCCAATATTTGGTATATCTGTAAAATATGTGTGTTTATACGAATGAAATATGCCAAGTTGACACGCAAATGAAACTTTTGTAAAGAAATCTATTAAGAATTGTGCGTGTATATGTAACTATGTATGTCTATAGATATATATATATTTATATATATAAATATACTTATGCGGATATACGTATGTGTTTCATTTAAGGCCAAGAAAAAAATCTCATCAAATTATCAAATCGCATAGACAATTGTAATTGTTTCTAAAACCTTAATCGTCTATTATTAAAACAAACGTATACAAACAAACGAATGTCATTATGTTTCTGTTGACGTTCAGCAAGAATTTTGACTTTTT